TGGCCTTCGCTGTTTTCTGTTGTAGTGAATTCCACAGGGTCACTACTCTCTGAGTGAAGGAATTGCACCCTGTTTCAGTTCCAAGTGATTTACCCTGTATCCTGATGCCTTTTCAAGACCCCCACCCAGGGGTCATACCATCCCTGCATCCACTCTGTCCATGGCCTGTCAGAATTTTATATGCTTCAATGTGATCCCCTCACCTCCTTCTAAACTCAAGAAAATTCTGGCACAGTTGACTCAATCTCTCCACATACATCCCAGGAATCAGTCTGATGAACCTTTGCTGTATTCCCTCTGTTGGAAATGTATCTTCTGCTAAGTAAGGTAACCTAATAGCCCCAGCTATTCACAAGATAGACAGTAAACTTTTCATTAACTGGCATCTAGGGGAGGATGCCGGGAATGTACCAGTTGGTCAAATATTCCGGATAATCAAGAGGTACGCCTATCTGCATTAAATCTTGACCAAGTCCTGTAAAGTTTTGAAGCATTAACATCCCTCAAAAAATCTACGTAAAAAAACATCAATACACCACCGAAAGTCAATGTTAAAAACACACAGTAAGTAATAAATATGTAACGCAGGGGGTAAACATATCTCCGTTATACTTTACGTTCAGTATAAATACTTGGGCATCGCAGTATTTGAGGCTCCGAGGTTTTTTTTTGCCAGTTTATCAAGAATACCGGTTAATAATGTGCCAGTTAAAACAAACTTTGCTGTATTAATGATTTGAATGAGGGAAATAAATGTAATATTTCCAAGGTTGCTGACAGCACAAAACTGAGACGGATCATGACTGATAAGGAGGAAATGGCAGAGTGTTTAAGGTGATTAAAGCAAGTGAGCGAATGGGCGAATGCATGACAGATGCAGTATAATGTGAAATTATCCATTTTGATTGGGAAAGCCAGAATGGCATCATTAAATGATGGATAGACTGGGAAATGATTGTATCCAAATGGGATTTCAAGGCAGTGAATCTCTCCTGGCTGCTACACTCGCTAAATTTTCTCTGAATGTTTTTAGTTCTGGACTGCTACTGGAATTGCATGTGATTTAATTCTGTTTTCTGAATTAGCCTTTTGCCAAGGGTGTGTTTATGGGATGTGACTATATTGGAACAGTTATTGTTTATTAGTAAAATAATCTATTTTTCTGTTAAGTTTGCCAATAGAGTTAAGTTATTCCACGCTCACCTTTCTTTCGTTGTATTATGACAATGGTGTTTGAATAAATTGTGTCTTGCTTAACATCAAGTAGTATGACCAACCAACTAGTATTTGAAACATAGCACTCACATTTACCTTTAAATTAGAACAAAATAGAGTACATCTAGCTTCTAATTATATTTTGAGGGGTTCTGGCCTGTCCATAACAGTTTGCAACATGTTCAAGGGCTTTTCCTCAACAATATGGACCAAACAATGGAGAAGCACCATGCAACCTCAGGCTGCAGTAAAGCTGTAATAGTCCAGAACAGGGTCCAAGCTAAGCTGTTTTGTTCTAAGATAACAAGGTGTGGAGCTGGATGAACACAGCAGGCCAAGCAGCATCAGAGGAGCAGGCAGGCTGGCGTTTCGGGTCTGGACCCTTCTTCAGAAATGGGGGAGGGGAAGGGAATTCTGAAATAAATATGGAGAGAGGGGGAGGTGGATAGAAGATGGATAGAGGAGAAGATAGGTGGAGAGGAGACAGACAGGTCAAAGAGGCGGGGATGGAGCCAGTAAAGGTGAGTGTAGGTGGGGAGTTAGGATGGGGGTTGGTCAGTCGAGGGAGGACGGACAGGTCAAGGGGGTGGGATGAGGCTAGTTGGTAGGAGATGGGGGTGGGGCTTGAGGTGGGAGGAGAGAATAGGTGGGATAAAAGACGGACAGGTTAGGGAGGCGGGGACAAGCTGGGCTGGTTTTGGGATGCGGTAGGGGGAGGGGAGATTTTGAAGCTTGTGAAGTCCACATTGATACCATTGGGCTGCAGGGTTCCCAAGCGGAATATGAGGTGCTGTTCGTGCAACCTTCGGATGGACAGCTGCAAAGGTTCTCCAGCATCAGCAGTTCCTACTATCTCTTGTTTTGTTCTGTGTTTGTCCCAAACTTTGGGATATTATTTCTGGCCAGTATTTTTTTCACCTATTCTTTGTTCTTTCCAGGAAATGTCAATTTCCACCGGGATAAATTCCCAAAGTTTCCAAAGGCCTCCCATGCCCACGTTCCAGTTGAATATTGACAGGGTGCTGGATCATCTGACCAGTCCAGGTCTTCCCAAACTAGCCTTCACCCAACATCACAGAGGATTCATTCAACAAAGGTTTCTGAGGAGCAATCTGAAAGGATTCTGTGTAATTGGTCCTTACCTTGTCTTTGAACACTACTGATCATGCCTACTTGGTTGGACATTCCAGTTTTTGTTCTCCGCTGGGTGTGCCTTAGGCATCTAGAATGTGCCCATATTGGTGTCTCAGTACAGACATAGCATTGCTGTGTAAAGGCAAGATTCCTATTGAGCATTCCTGACATTTGTACTAGTTTGGCATTCCTGCAGATTTTCAGGCCCAATGCACTATGACTTAGGACAACAAACAACAGAACTCAACTATAAGTCCAAGTGAATTGCTCTGTAAGACCTGAATAAATTAGCTTGAATATCCAATGCCAATATTAGTTTATAGGAACGGGTACAGAAAGATAGAGAACTCGCCTCACCCATGACTTTGAAATAGTGGATGAAGTGTCCTACAGTTTAGTACTAAACCAGCTGATGAAAGCTTCTCCTAGGAGAATTTCCGTGGTTATCGTTGGTCACCTGTCTCAGTTACAAGATCGCTGGGGTGAAATCTGTTTGAGAATCTGGATGTGAGAGTGATTACTGAATCCAGGACACCTTGCAATCGGCTACTTATGAACATAAGGTCCATTGTCCATTGTGCATAGACTGTACTTCACCCCAGCCCCTGTTGTTAGAGATGGTGGGTCACAAATGGTTTTTGACAGAGGTTGGTGGAGACAACTGTTGCTGGCTGTTTTCTGAATCAAGTTGTGGCATATTTCATTGTCAGCTATGGACAGCAATATCACCTCAGAATTGAGCTGAATTGATTCAGAGATAGTAGGAACTGCAGATGCTGGAGAATCTGAAGTAACAA